CTCCAGGTAGCCCATCTTCTCAAGGGCTACCAAGTGCTTTCAAATTGTGTGTAAAGTGGAACTTGGAAAAGCAAGAGGAAGCATGGTCTATTTTTAAAGCATTGTACTGGATTTAGAAGATCCAAGCTGAGACTCCAGCTCAGCAGTAGGTTTTCTACCTTACCTTTGGTAGGTTACTGGAACAGAGAGCTGGAAAACTGCCAAATAGTTCTTTCATCAGGAAGGCTGGCTGTGTTGAAACTGGAATAACTGTGTATTAATCACAGCAATAACATCATTTCTGGTTTGAATTAGCATGTGTGTGCTCTTACACATGCCTTATACTCAAAAGCCCTGTGGATGGGCATTTACTGAGAAAGTCCCAGATGAAATTCTCTTCTGTTTGATTAAGACTAAAGATTTGAACCCGTTTTTGGAGGTAGCACCTGAATGAGGGAGGTCTTAGCTGTTTTGGGCAGGGGTAGCATGATGTCTCTTTCCCCTCTCAAAATGTCTTTTACTTTGCTGCAGCCTGGGAAAGATTTTGAGATATCAGACTCCTTTGTAGCAGGAATAGCAATTTTTGCGTTGAGCTTTGTGAATTGCTTAACAACTCAGAGTTTCTATACCCAATCTGTAAAATGAAAGGAGGAGGATTATTTTGTTTTGTTTTCTCAGTCACTGTGTTGGCACTGTAAGCTCTTTAGGGCAGATCTTTCTGCATGCACAGTAGATGTTATAATGTCGTGCTGATTGGTTATTGTCCTGTTATTGTATTATGAAGAACCAACATCAAAGCAAATATTTGTCAAATTTTGCCCTCTTTCAGGAAAACATTTACAGTGAATTGATGTTCAAATGCTGAAACTATTTCCCTCTCTCACACAAAACAGTGATTCATAATTATACAAGAATCTTTCGGGGTTTGCATTTTAAGCTGTATCCTGCTTATATCATGTGAATATTTCCAGACCTGTGTGAAGTGTGGCTGAAACGTGGTGTTACACAGCAGAACTGCTGACCCATGGTGGAGCAGGTCCACACTGCCGTTGCTTGTCCTGTGCAAGGAAATGAGATGCAGGGACTTAGCCAAGGGCCCCCAGCAGATGCTGCCAGAAAAAGGGGTTGAATTCAGTCTTTAAACTCGACTCTGTTGTTGCCTTCTTCACTTAGGGAGAAGGTTGAGTGTGGCAGACAGACCCGTGCCAAAGCCAGCTAAGTGCCTGTTAGGAGTCAGGAGTTGCAACAGAAGCCATAGGGGCCACTTTGCCCTGGAATTATCCTCCCTGAGCAGTTTCTCATGGAAAATTTTCTGCAGATTTAACTCTGAACTTGAAGAACTTGCTGTAGGGTCTGTGCTCGATGGTGTTCCCTGTCCTGGAGAAGGCAGGATGCTCCCCTGTCCCAAGAAGGCAGGGTGAGGCCTGCAGTTAGAGCTGCCAAGCAAAATAAATCCTGTGGTATAAGTTATCATCACTTTGGGAGCGGGGAGAAATGGAAACTGGAAGTAAGAGAGTGATGTAGAAATGCATGTAAGAGAAGTGGAACAATCAGCTGGGAAGGAGACTCAGGGTAAGAATAATTTGAAGCTAAAAGCCCATCTGCATGCACACCGAAGACACAAATCTGGTGTTTGGGACATTCAGTAAGTCTCCAGGTCTTCTGGGTCCTTTCTCCACTGTCCCAGGCTGCACAGCAAAGAGAAAGGGAGGCAGTGCACTGGGCTTAGATCTCCACTGTCCGCTGCTTATTTCTGCATCTAGCAATGATTTTCACGGGTCAGATCTTTGTGCTGGTGGCAGTTGCTGCTGCTGTGGGCCACCACTGCAGGCCGTGACCTTCTGCTGATGCATTCAAAGCAGTCAGTAGTAGCCTTGTTGGCAACACAGGGCCTTTCACTGTGTCCAATGTGGTGTACGCCACATGAGGTGGGTGAGCCCTGAGAAGAGGAAGGGATTTATTTCACAAATCTCAGGAAATTGCTTTGATTTGAGCCATTCCTCACTCTGAGTTTGTGGCCTTCTGTGGATATCACCTAGACAGTGATTTTACTACTTCTATCTTTTTTGGATGTTTCTTAACATCGGATGGATGGGAAACAGGACTGTTGTGTCCTCACTTGGCTGAACAGACAGGCCTTTCTCAAGACACACTCCTTAACCTGGTGAACACTATCTAGTCCTCTATTCTAGCTCTAAAGTTTGGAGTAGGGTCAGAGAATAGTATTCTTACCTGGGCCTGTTATTCATAAAATAACAGGCAAAGCTTGGCTTGCAGTTGGAGGTGGTTATCAAAGTCTAGTAGTGGTGCTGGGACAGGATCTGGAAACGCTGTCTACCTTGACACAAGCACACATAGTCTATACAAACCCTGCTTTTCCCATCTGCTTCCATTCGTTCCCTCCATTCGTTTTCTGTTCTGTCTTCCCTTTTTCTCCCTCCGGTTTGGGAAAATGGAGGAATTCCTTCTTTCCTGGTTGTCCTCAGTAACCATGTAAGTTGCCATCAAATGCTGATTGGTTCAAGAATATCTCCATCAAAAAAGACTTTATGCCTTACAGGATAGGTGTCTAACCTTGTACAGACTTGAAAATAAATGTAAAGTAACTGGAGTGTCTTACTTCATTAAACAAATATCAAAAAACCTGAGAACAACAAAGCTGGAAATGGTTCTTTTTAAAATTATTTTTCTGGAAGAACCTGAACAGTGAAAACTGCTGGGTACATAAATGCTTTTTATCTCTGCCAGTCGCTAGCAAACATTGTTAAATGATAACAATTACACTAATAATTTGGTCATCACTAGTCTTTTTAAAAACAGCTTTCCTCATAGGAAATTGGTTAAAAAACTTATGCTAGTAACCAAGTTAAATATTATTGGTAGCATCAAAGAAAAGTGATGTTGCATTTTCAGAGCTGAATGCCCTTATCCAGTAAGATAGTTGCAGCCTTGCTGTGAAGACCTGTTATTTCACATGGCCATGTAGATCAGGCTTTGAAATCATCTTATGCATACTCAGACATGCTACTTGCTGTATTTTTCTTTTTTTTTTAACCTTTAAAGCTTTCAGAGTTATGAAATGCTCAGAGAGGCCTAAGCTTTACCAGCAGGTGTTGTGAGTTGATCCTCTGTAAGTGCTCCTCAAGACAGACAGTGGACATGTATAATTATAAACCATTGCATAGGGAGGGATTCATAAATGGCTGATCTGTAGCTGGGAATGGTTTTGAGGTGTAACCTTGAGCTTGACTTGTATGCATGAAAATAATTTTGAAGATTGAGTGACTGGCTATTAGGAAGACAAGATGAAAAATGTTCTTGCCCTGCCGGCTGACTTTCTGCAGATCGAGGCTGTTTTTTTGCAGAGGTGCTAACAAGAAGGAGAATGGGTTATGCAATTTGTTGTTGTGATTTGCATATTTATTCAAGTGCGTCTTCCCAGTGACCTCCTAATAGCAGAGCAGTGCCAGATGACAGCGCTTTTGCTGTCGCTCATGCCTGCCGGGGTACGGGCCTGGCTTGTTCAGGAAACAGGAGGGGCCAGGCTGGGTTCCTGTCCATGTGAAAGCAGTCAGTGGTGCTATAGGAAAAAAAAGCCTTGTTACCTGACTCAAAAGCAGAGTGTTCATACATTTATCTTTAATTTCATGAAGTGGGGCAGAGGAGCTAAGAGATATGGGCAACAACCCAGCTGTTACCAAGGATCAAGGATCCAGCTGGTTACTGATGATGTACCCATGCAGTGAAGCTGGAGGGAACACCTCTTTTTGCAAATAATATAGAGCAGCTTTCAAAGTGTCGGAAGTCTCAGGACAGGAATTGGAACTGAGTCCCCCTCTTGTCTATGCCATGCATCTCATGCAAGTTCAAAGTCATTTACAAGCTTGCACTTAAGTGTTCCTGTCTTTAACCACCACCACCATTAAATGAGATGTGCTGCTGCTTCTTCATGCTAAGTTAAGATTCCTAAGGAATCAGGGTTTAAATACTTTCATGCTCTCAAAACTTTGGGAGGAGCTGCTATTAATGCAAAGCTGCTGTAATATAGAGTAGAAGCAGTCTTCTGGTTTCACATTCACCAGCAGCTTACAAGACCCAGGGGTCTTTACCCATTTCCCGATAGATTGTCTGCAGTTTGACATTTTTTGTGAGGATGACCATTTCTTTAGTACCAAAGTGATTTATTTAGTGACTTATTTATTTTAAACTGTGTTCTCAAATTTAGATTCTCTCATTTATATTAATAAGTTGTACTGCATTATGCCAGCTGGATATTTGAGAAATAATTTAGTCTTATCCAAATTCTGAAACATTCTTGTAGTTCAGCTGGATTAAATCCATTTTTAATTTTAAAAAAAAATAATGCATGATGTGTTTACTTGAACCAAAACACTGCAAGGCAATGAACTAGTGGGTTCAATACAAATTTGGGAAAATAATGGAATGTGAATATGCTAGCTATACGGAGGATTTTTGAGAACTAAATCTCTATTAGGCTTCTGTTTGAATTTTACTTGAAAGCAGTGCTTTTAAATACTTAAGGACTGTAAACTACTGCAAGTATGTGGCCAAAGTGAGTCTTCTGGAAAGCACACTCAGCCTTAGAAGTAGTAGCAAGTGAAGCAGAAGCAGGCAGGCAGGAGCAAGCAAGAAAGTCTTACCACAATGTTTCCTTGAAGTCCACCTTTTTTCTTCTCCTTTTACCTTGTAAAAATACATGCTTTTATAGAATTAGAGTATTATTATCCTGTACTACAGTAAGAACTTTTGGTATCCTTTTAATAATGAATTTAATAACAGATAAGATATGAATATTTATGCTCAGCAGTTTCTTCCTGGGGGTAATGAGTTTTGATGAATTAAATAATGTTTAAGGTTTTTAAGTACCGTCTGACCTTCTAAAGAACATCTTACCTTATAAACATGATTTCTGTCTTGTTTGTCCTTGATGTCCTTGCCAACTAGATTTCAAAAGCAAAGCATAGAAAGATAATTCAATGTCTGTCTCTCTCCCTGTCTAGATTATCAGCGTCTGATGACGGTGGCAGAGGGGATCACGACGCTGCTGTTCCCATTTCAGTGGCAGCACGTGTACGTCCCCATCCTTCCTGCCTCTCTCCTGCACTTTCTGGATGCTCCTGTTCCCTACCTGATGGGGCTGCAGTCCAAGGAGGGAACCGACCGCTCCAAGCTGGAGCTGCCTCAGGAGGTCAGTCTCCACCTTTGGGGTTGCTATACTGAAATGTGTTAATAATATTTGTGTGAATTCCTGCT